ATTTTGACAATCCCCCATATGGACACCTATATATGCATTCTTGAAAGACCGGCCCAGGAGCCAAGTGCAAGCCACACGCTCCAGCACATTCTTTGGTCCATTGTCTCCATAGCCGACAGATGTCATGGTGTAGCAGCAGAAATAGTACCTCCAAAAGAGGTGAGTTCAGAATGAAATCCGAATTAAATAGCGCTTTTTTCAATTTCGGCAGGCCCGTATCGGTATGGAGGAAAGTCCTCTAGCATGTATAGCAGCAACAGCACTTCCCCAAGTCCCACTGAAATGTAGGCGCGAAGACGAAGAGCCCTGGGCACGCGGCGATGTAGATGCGCAGAGGCGAATCTCGGGTGCGGATCCCGTATGGTAGGTCTGCAGCCTCAATGTCGTATAGCAAGAATAGTCGTAGAAATACTAACCATCATCATAGTAGAAGTAGTAATACTAATAGTAGCAGTAACCACACTAAAAATGTTAACGTAGTAACCATAATAATGATCATAAAGTAATAGAAATGGCCTCAATGTCGTTGATCCACTGGGGGAAGGTGTCCTGAAGCCATGGTTGCCCCGGCACTTTGAAAGGGCTGGTTACAACATGACTGGGTTGCTGTTAAGGAACTTAAATTAAGTTACCATAATGGGTTTATATAGTAAATAATAGGGTTTCCCCAGTATAGTAACTTAATTTAAGTTCCTTAACAGCAACCCAGCAGCATGAAGGCCCTGGCAAGTGGTTTCCCCTGCCCCACTGAGGCTAGAAACCTGTCCATTCAAGCCTGCCTGATGCACGTTGATTGACGACTAGCTGCCTAGATGTTAGCATGATGCTACTTGTTACTGTCGTGGTGGCTCTGCCAGCGCTGCTCTTTTTTCAAGTGGAAGGTGTTGCTGCTACATGGTGACGCCCCCGAAGCTTTGATACCTAAACGGTCAAGCCCCAAACCCTGTACCATCCTGCAGATGTTAAGACTCAGACCCGACGCAGGTGTTCACGAAATCCCGAATACGGTTGGCATGTTTGGTGGATAGCTTCCCTAGCAAATGGCTCAGAATCTTGGGATCGCTCCACGCCCAAAGGCAAGAAGTACCTGGGTGCAGAAAGAATAGCAGCCCTTGTTTAAAAATAGAACCTATGCCCTGTTGCCCAAACCTACACCCCAAACTCCTCCACGATCTTGAGAGTCATCGCCCATACACAAGCAAGCCAGTGGCAGGCCAAAACCAAGATGAGGAGAAAGCGGAATAGGGCCACCTGTAACAAGCATAGGTTTAACCCCCAACCCCCATCATCAAGATGGTGCAAGAGTCATGTGATCGCTATGGGGTCCTAGTTTTGGGGGTTGGGGTTACCAAAAAGATCTTTTGAGTAGTGTCTTTTGGTGGTTGAACCTAGTAAGATTATATCCCTTATACAGAATACTATGCCCAAAAGGAGGATATAATCTTACTCTATATTGGGTACCATAGTATTATTAATCTCGGACATCAGTCGGTCATGCTGGTTTCGCGCTGGGCCCTGTGGCCCCTCAAATAAAATAATCTAGAAAATCTAAAATCGGCTGATAATGTTTGCAAGATCCCTAAGGATCGACGGACATGATTTAAGTTTGTTGTGCAGCGTGTCGCTGGGCAAAAGTTGTGCGGAATTGCAAGGCCTATGAATTTTTTGAGGTATCTGAATAAAGTTAAGTTGATTGGAACAAAAAAACTACAGATCGGGTACCATAGTATTATTCACGGACGTCAGTCGGTCATTTGAGTCGGGCGATGAGCACTTTGGCTCCTCCAATAGTGAATAACCTAGATTAGATTAAAGGCGGTTAATGATAGTGTCTAGGTCAAGAATGACCTGTTGGCAGGAATGCAGTGATCCCTGGAGCACATTACTCGAAACGAGTTGGGCATGGGGACAAGTGCGATGAATTTTGTCAGGGGCTTGGATGAAGTTAAGCTGGGTAGAACAAAAAGTGCAGGTGGGAAGGTCATCCGACCAGATGACTTCCGGCAAATGTGGAAGATTGCTGGTATCGGAAGACTCAAATGAAGAACTTTTGATGGCACAAGAATTGCCTCTTGGCGGATTTTGAGGGTGAAATGTTGGCTTTAGTGTTGTCCATAGTATCCCCGAATAAAATCCTACTCCTTTGACTTGAATAGGGAATGCAGATGTAGTGTCTACCGGAAATGGGTCATAAGCGTTGTCATAGGTAATATGTCAGGACAAAGGGATGTGTACTATTTGTTTCGGGTGGCTGAAGAGTGCGGAAACCTTAGAATGTCATAATCTTGCAGGGGCCCTGGTATCCCACTTTTGCTTTCAAATACTATTCAACTGGACGCCCCCGGCACTTCAAAACAATATTTTTCATTTAGACCCAAGGTCCCCCTTAGAGATCCAGTGGGGTTGATTTGCAACTCTTCCATCTGAGCCATAGTCTAAACTCCTAGTATTCCGCTTCGTAAGCCCTATAATAATACCCAATATAATTCCCTTTCTACCCCCCTTCGAAGAGTTTAGACTATAGCTCACTTGGGCTAACAGAGAAGATGAAGAGGGCGACATAAGCCTCCTTGTCGCTTACAAAGGAGGAGCGCCTGATAGAGCTTGAGCATGGTTCCCGGATATAACCCAGTCTCTAGTACTGCACTGATGAAAAATTGACAACAGCTCATATTATATGAAACCAAGTCTTCGTAGGGCCTCAATTACATGGACCTCCTCTGATGGCTTAGGGCGAAGGAACAGGAACTGCAACTGTGCTGCCTGGAGTCTCAGGGCCGCGTGCAATATATCCCGAAAAGGAATGCAGGCACCAGCATAGGGGATTAAATATACCATTCATAAAGATTCTATTGTACAAAGCACCCGGAAGCCTGGAATGACCATGTAAGCCCTCATGGCTCCTTCTGCTTTTTGAGTATCTCAGATTAGGTGCTGTTTCTCCTTGGAGCCGATGCAACTTCAGCACCAAACAATTGACATCATGTCTTGCAAGCAGGGTATGGAGGAATGAAAGGCTAAGCGCGTACTCCACTGCTTAGGCAACCATTGAATGCTAAGAGCTTAGGCTTCAGGTTGTGCGCGAATGTGGTGGAGAAAGCATGAGGTTTCAATGTGCCTCTTCTAGGTAGGTATACATCTTGAGACTGAGGTTCCATGCGCGCTAATAAGTATAATAAGAAACGGAAATGAATTCCAGGGCTAGAAGTTGCATTGCTTTCGCCCGACGTATCACTAAAACTCCTAAACCACTATACGGTTCAAACCCATTACCAGTACCCCCTGCCCTCATCACCTGCTGGTACGGGATGGACAAAGGTATCTCCAAGCGATGTGTCCTTGGCTTCGCTCACTTCGGGCTGAGAGAACTTCCTCTAAAACTCCATAGGGTCCCCAACTCACGGAGATCAAAGCCCGACACCCAAACAGCCCCAAACCTAGAACCACTCCATGTAGGCCGTAGGCGACAGAAATTTCGAAACCGCATGAGCTGTAGTCTAAACTAAACTCCTTATAATCCCCCAAAACGAGACCTACAATAGGATTCCTAGATAATCCTCCTATAACCCTTTGAAGGAGTTTAGGCTGTAGCTCACATGTCCCATGCCCAGGTTGTTGCGGCGGGGACGTTTGGGCTCGATGCCTTGACACATCAACCGCCCACCGCAGGCTCCCAGATTCCATTCAAGTCAAAAACCAAAATGGGTTTAGATTGGGTACTGCCCCCACCCAGTGACAGTCTATATTAGGGGTCCTATTAAGCGCTATCTATGTCCATCTTATAATTATTATCCAACTGTTACTGAGTGGGGGCAGTACCCAAGGTTTAGGGTTGAGGATTTAGGGTACTGTTGGAACATTGAAAAACACAAGTTGTCTACTTTACCCTCTTGTAGACCTGTCGTCAGAGGGAGGTTGCTAGCTGGTGAAGCTCCTAGACTTCCTTCTTCAAACTTGTGATGTGCCTGCTCACCCGCTAATTGGGCCAGCTCTGTCCTCCATAAGCTTCGAAAGCCGTGATATTCCTCCACCCTTTTCAGAGTTTAGGGCCCTATCCGCTGGTAGTAAATGAACGTGAAGCCCAATAAAAGCCTGTTATGGCTGTTCTCGTTTCGATGAGCGACCATGCGCGGTCGCATGTTCGCTTGGGACCAGTAAATTTACCACAATCAGAAGGAATATATAGCGCGACGTCTCTGAACTTGTGGGTGATCATGATACCCCTCCCCTTCAAAACCCGTTTTTTGAACCCATCAATCTTAATCCCTAAACCCTAGCATCCCTAAACCTGATGATTGCCTACAATCCCTAAACCCCTTCATCCGTAAACCCTATGTCCCCTAGAACTATAGCCCCTAAGCCTCAAACATACCTATGATATCTACCCTACACCCTACACCCTGAACCCTAAACCTTAAACCCCAAACTCTAAACCCTACACCGTAAATCTCTCCTAATCCACAAACCCAAGGCTTAGGGTCAGCCGGGAGCTTCTCAGCAGCCGCATGAGCTTCAATAGCCGCAAAACGCGGATGACTTTGATACTCCGGAGGTCCTTCGAAGCAAGCGGTTTAAGAGTTGAGGGGTTTAGGGGTTAGGGTTTAGGGCTCAGGGGTTTAGGGCTTTAGGGTTTAACAACAGCTGGGGTAGGGTTGAGGGTATACAGGGTGCAGGGCCCCACCTCATCCCATCCTTTCTCTTTAAAAGTCAGAACATCTAGCTGTGGTAGAATCTCCCCAACATCACAATGCCTAAGCCCTTGAACCCTTAACCCACATCTCTGGAGTCATCGTAAGAGCCTGGGCTGGGTGTCTTAGATGCTCCGTCTAACGATGTCATTGAGAACTGATGCGTTGTGCCCTCGATACTGAAACCCGCCCCCCGCTCCAACAATGGATATTCCCCAATATACATATATATGTAAACAGCTATATATATATATATCTAACGGTACCAGAACGGGTGAGGGCAATTCTTACAGGGAAAGAATTGACGGCAGTTGTTGTGGGGAGCAGTCCTTGAGACTATCGGTGCCGGAAGTCAGGCCAATCATGTCGAAGGGGATCAAAGTCACAAAGTCCAGGAAGAACCACGTCCTCCAAGCATCGCAGAAATGGGTGGTTTCCAACAATGAGGGTTCCCCTTGTAGGGGTCCCATAATAAGCATTAGAGCATTTTGGGGTCTATTTTTGGGTCCCTCCGATTTATAGAAACTACCAAACCGTTCTGCACAAGGGCGCCTTGCATGCCCCACGTATACAAATCTATTCAAAGCGCTGCCTGACAATTCAAAACAATGGCTTAAGGTTAGGGGTTTGGGGCCATTATCCTGGCACTGTATTGGGGGGGGGGGGCGTTATTATCATTGCCATCAGTACGGTTTTTGTGCTTTAGTGGAAAGACCTGACAGAATGAGCACTATCTGGCAAGGGTATCTGCTTTCCGGCCCTCAGTCCTGAGATAATTCTTGGCAATCTTCTGGGGCCTGAGCTCCCATTCCAATCCCCGGGCCGTAGTGCGAGGATACATGGTGACAAACTGCAGGACCATGTCGACCACGAAGACAAAGTCTACCAGCATGGTCAGTACGAAGAGCGCGTCCAACTCGATCTCGAGCAAACCAACCTGCTGCACACTTAGTGCATATTCATTCAGTAATAACAGTAAGACTAACAAGGATAATAGTAATAATAACAATGATAATAATGGTAACAAGGAGTAGTGCCCTAAACCCTACGTAAACCCTATAACTGCCTATAACCCTATCTCCTAATAACAGCAGCTTGTCGGAGGCTGAATGATGCTCGACTTATCTCGGGATCCTATGCCTTTCTGATGCGGGGAGGTATTGGGTCCCCGGGCAGTGTATGGCAATGTCATGTGAATACGCCAAAGTGCACCTTTCACATCACCTTCTACAATATGGTTTAACAATACTAATATTGTTAATTTTATTCATATCATTCATATTATGAATATTACTAATAGTATTATTCGTAATATCATGGTTATTATTAACAAGAACCAGTCAGTAACCCCCAAGCTGGCCAGCTAGGGTTTAGGGTTTAGGGTTTAGGGCCGCATTGCATCATAGACAGGGCTGGGAATGAGACCCATACGATCCCGAGACGGAGGCCTGGAGTTTCACAATATGCCTTGGGTACTGCCCCCACCCAGTAACAGTCTATACTAGGGGTCATATTAAGGGCTATATATACCTATGTTGTAAAAAATATCCAACTGTTACTGAGTGGGGGCAGTACCCAAAATATGCCTTGCTTTTGCACAGGTAGATGAGAACCCTAGCTATTGGATGTAGAGGGCTTGCTCTCGAAATTCAGCGCCCCTTTGGGTTGTAGATCAAATGGCGGCGACTAATTTTTGGGGGGTACAAAACGGGTTTCTAATTTTGGGAACTACCTAGATAATAACCGAAACCATGGTAAGAAGGCCGATTGAAACGTGACGCAAGATGATGCAACTGCAGGCTTGGAAGTGACCATCTTGGGACCATTCGGCTGATTTGATTAATTCAGGCAGGCATCTACTCCAGGTTATGAGGGATGTCGGGATGCTACGTGTACACGCAAAACTCTCGCCTGAAGTGGGGTGATCAATGCCACGAAGGCGAGGGCTAGGTTGGTAATGACCTGCCACGCCGTGGAAAACCGGTTCGTGTCTGGGTTGATGACGAACCACCGCTTTTTCACCTTCAAAAAGGCTGCGCATTGGCAAGAAGGCCCAACAGTCATCAAATAGAACAACACGGGCATGTGAGCTATAGTCTAAATGCCTAGTATCACCCTGAAGAATCCCTATAATACTCCCCTACATAACCCCCTCTCAGGAGTTTAGACGATAGCGCGTGTGGTAAAAAGAGATGTGAATCATAAGTGGTAGTTTCCCGAAATAGGGGGACCCCAATATAGACCCCAAGATACTATAGTCCTTACTATAGGGACCCCCCCCGCAGGGTACCCGTAATTTTCGGAAATCCCCAAGTGCTATGGCAGACAGGGCTCCACGAATTGGGGCGTCTGGTGCGCACGCATGATCATGAACCGGACCTGCTGCGAAGCCTAAGCCCTAAAACCCTACATCCTAAACCCTAAAGTCCGAAGCCCCTAAACTCCTAAACCCTAAAACCCTAAACCCTGAATCCTAAACCCTGAAACCCTAAAATCCTAAAGCCTACACCCTCAAACCCTGAAGCCTAAGCCCTAAAACCCCAGACCCTAAAACCTAAAACCACGATGAACCGCACCTGTTGTGAGGCCACGAGCTTGGAGACCTGCGAGTTCCTCTGGGTTGCTGTCAAGGAACGTAAGTTAGTTTTACCATACTGGGTATATAGGGTTTAGGGTTTAGGATGTGTGGTTTAGGGTGACCATAAAAGAGAGAGAGAGAGAGAGAGATATATATATATGTATATAGTAAATGACAGGGTTTCCCCAATTTAGAATAGCTTAAGCAATTTCCTTAACCCTAAACCCTATATATCCCTATAGACCCCTCTATAATTACCCCCCGTATACCCTATATACATACCCATTACGGTATCTGAAATGATATTACCCCAGTTTCCATTTGATTCTCCATTATATGCGATAATGTAATAACCCTACACCCTAAACCCTATTTAATAAGGCTTCACCAATATAATCCTCTCCCCTATATTAAAACCCACGCCCACCCCCTAATGTTAACTACTCCGTGGTGTACTATAAGATATTTGGAAAATTTAACATTAGTCGGGTGGGGGATGTAATACTAGAGCGAAAGGATTGGTATAACTGAAATCAAATTCCATAAGCTTATATATCCCTGTATAATTGCCCCCGTATATACCCTTAATAGACCCATTATGGTACCCTAAACCTTCAACCCAAAACCAAGTAACTTAAAAGAAGTTCCTTGAAAGCATCCAAACCCTAAACAAAGTAACTTAAAAGAAGCTCCTTAACAGCAACCCGGTCCTGCGAGGTTGAAAGGAGTGCTGGGAGAGTTTGCTTTGCCTGGGTTGCTGCTTTGGGTTTAAGGGTTTAGGGTTTTTTGGGGCTTTAGGGGTTTTGGGGGCTTTAGGAGTTTAGGGGTTTGGGGTTTTAGGGTTTCAGGGCTTTGGGGGTTAGGGGTTCGGGGGGGGTTTAGGGGTTCGGGGTGTTTCGGGTTTAGGGGAACTTAAATTACCATGGTAAGTAGTAAGAAAAGGAAACCCTATGATCTACTATGTGCCCATAGTTTGGTAGCTTAATTGAAGTTCCTCAACAGCAACCCAGTTTCCGATGCGGATGTGGAAGGATCATATCCTGAGATGGTGAAGTGTTGGCAGCGCACGAAAGAACGCCACTTTTCCAAGTTGCCCTTAATTTCTTGCCGTTTGATACGCCAAGTTGCCGTCTTCAGGCCGGTGACTTCTTCTTCTTCTTCCTGAGCCCAGGTCCAAGGCTGGTTGAAAATCAAATTTTCATGAAGCTGTTCCGTATAGGGTTGCACTAGCATGATCGTCTGCAATACTGCAAACCCCTTTGGGTCATCGCTCAATCTCAAGAATTCTTCCAAACCAGCCGTAGCTGCGTCGTCCTCGTCATGTTGTGACCTCCTGGATTGACGAACATTGTCTTGCTCTGGATGGGGAGGAGGTTCCTCAACTGTTCTTGAAGACCCCTTTATCGTACTGAGAGCTGTTGCTAGGGTTTTAAGCTTATGAAAGCACATAAAGTAAACATCTTAAAGAACCGTCCAGGCTCATGCTGGATTACAGGAGGCAGCTCGGACATTTCAACTGGAATCGCTGCTGACTCCTCAGTGAACACATCTACCTGGATGAGAGCCTGCCTGCATCGTAACAAAATTACACTCCCATGCAATCAAAACTGCAAGCGGCTGCTCTACCTCAAGCAGGAAAATGCCTTCAACAGCAGCCATCACAAGTCAAGGATCGAGCAGTCGCCTGTTCTGAAGCTCTAGGTCCCGGATTGTGGCTGACTGACGTTCCAACTCCATCGACAGTTGGTACAGAAGGCCTCTCCATGGCTCAGCCATGGTGACCTGTCCTACCTCGGCACGGGGACGCGGGGGCTCAAACCAAAAGTTCACAGCGACTGCTTTAACCTAAGCTCTAAACCGCTTCAAGAGGTGGTATTCCATACTTGCTGCTTGCTATGGCTTGCTTACTTATGCCCTGCACTCAGAGATGGGGAGAGGGACTTGAGCCAAATACAGTAACGGTGACAGTACTAGTACTTAGACATGAGCAATAGTAAGAGTAAGCACGGCCACACCCTTGCATCTTCACACGCACTCCTCCCGGACTGTGCGCTGAACCAACCGCAGTACCGCCTTCCGACACAAACCGCATGCACCAAATCCATGGCGGATGCTACAAGCTTGCATGGCCCTAATCTCTTCTACCTGGAAAAGCGAGTTTAGTATACAAAGGTAATGCCGGATCTTGAATATCAACAGTATCACGCATCCCGACCTGGTTCACAAGCCGCAGGTCATGGGCCGAGCCGGCGTTGAGCAATTGAAGCCGACAGCTTTCTGCACAGGCTTCCTCACACATGGGAGTTTCCCAAAATTACGGGTACCTTTTTGGGGGTCCCAATAACAAGGACTCTAGTATTTTGGGGTCTATATTGGGGTCCCCCTATTTTGGGAAACTACCACATGAGTTTGTGTCAGTACCAGGTAGGAATCGGAACATTGCCAAACGCTGGCGTCATTTGCAGTACATATACGAACCATAGGAGGACTGCAGGCTATATGATGCTCTAAATTGAATGTTTGCCCCCGCAGTCTCCCATCAGCTTGCCAAACTGGTGTGCCTATGGAAGCTAGGACTGACACTTGATCATAGTACTAGTACAAGCGAGTAACAATAGTAGTAGTAGTCATAATACTAACGAGTAATATCAGAAATAGCAATTGGAATAATAGTAATATTGATGGAATAGAAGCAATAGTAATAATGAGAATAAAAGTGGGAGTAACCCACATAGGGGGAACCCAATATAGACCCCCAAATACTATAATCATAAGGACCCCACAAAAGGACCCCTAATTTTGAGGAACTACCCAAATAATTATCTTCTTGGATTCGGTGATGTCCTTCTGTCTTTTGAAAGTCACGCGCTCTAAGATCTAAGAAGCATTTCTTGCTGTAAAGCAGGCACTCTGATTCTTAGGCCTATACAATGTAGTTAGGTGATTCTTTGGCTGCCCCAGGTTCATGCAGCCAACTGTAGACTTGCAACCCACGCTGGTAGCTTCTGCAAGCAAGGATCTGTCATTTCGAAACTTGAGCTTCCAATCCTACACTTTCTACAGGCTACAACACTCCCCATATGGGAGCTTATATAACGAAATTCAGAGTCCCTACAATGAGCATCATGTAGCACCATTGGGTCGTCCCCTATTTATGGAAACTATATACGAAGAAACTCATCACTCAGGGATGTGTAGGAGGCTTCTTGGATGACAAGGGTCGCAGACTTCGGCCGCACTGTGGGGAGCAGCGTGGCAGCCATGCGCGGCAGCGGCCGCGGGTAGGTCTCAGGGCTTGGCCGATCCGCCGGGGGCAGCCTAAGAATGGAGGTTTGGAGTTTAGGGTTTTAGGGCTTGGGGGCTACACAAAGGGAGGACCCAGGAGTTTTGGGGATGTACCGGGATTTGTGAAAGGGAATTGTGGTCCCTTAAGTTTTCATAGTGTGCATGTTTTGACGCTCCCAGATGACGACAACAGATGATAGTCCCCGCCAAGAACCACGCGGGTAGCGAGTAAAATAACATCGATTTCAAGACGATGCTGCATTTTCTTGGACGGCCGTGCTTCCAGGTATAAATCAGCTGAGACGGTGAGAGCAAAGTTGGACGACTTCTGTTACGGTTTACGCGTTAAAGATGTAAGGTCCCTTTATTTACGAACCTCTCATTGAGATCCTTGTTCAGAGTCTTTCAACCCCAAAAAGCCAATTGGTAGAACTGTCCGTGCATGGGGACATGACTTCCCAACTGGCGCAACTCCACACTGCTTTCCTGGACAGCTGGGCCTCCAAACCCACCCAATCTTTGAGGCCCCATACCAGCATTTTTTCTAAACTCCGCAGAAATCATGGAAAGATTATACCTAGACCAAACCCTCCAGTCTCTTACGCCGAAACCAATCAAGTTTAGGTTAATAAGCAGCCTGAAATGATTCATGCAGGCTAGCTGGGTCGACCTCGGCACGCCTCCACAACAGAGCTCAGATATCTCATAGAAAGTGTGGACCGCAATTTGATGCAGGAGGGCTGCAACGGCGACCTTTCCATGAGTTAGGAAACCTTGCCCTAAACCCGGATATATAGGGTATATTGGGGCTATATTAGGGTTATGTTGGGGTTATATTGGGATGATGGAAAAGAAAAAATGATGGAAACTACTATTTAGGGTTTAGGGCTTCAGGGTTTAGGGTTCAGGTAAACCCTAAACCTAAATTACTAAGCCCTATCTACCTGTACTCGAAACGAGGCCAGCGCGGTGACAGCTTACCAGCTGTAGGGCTATCGTTCGTGGTCCCCGGCCTGTGAAACGCTTCTGCTGCGCTGACAAGATTTGAAGAATTCTCCATACAGGGAAAGTTTAGTATTTAGCATTTAGAGACCCTAATGGACAAGGAGTTCTCAATGATTACAAAGAAAAGTTAGTGTTCAGGATTCATATACCATTATGGTGAATCAGCTGGAAAATCACATCGAGCATGTCCGAGAAACCAGGGTTTAGACTCAATTACCATAATGTGCGAAATTCCTTACAAAGGGAAATTGATTGAAGCTCCTAAGCAGCCAGCCTGCTCTAGCAGCCTTAGGGATGTGCGGGGAGTACGCGCGGATTCTGGGGCTCCATGCTTCAGATTCCATAAGGGTATGCGTATGGATTTTTTTTGACGACCAAATTTTCACGCCCAAAGTTACATGAATCCTGTGCCACTGGTTCTCAAGGCCGGAGGCCCGTTCTTGTGAGCTTTACTTCATGGCCCTGATTGTTTGGGACAATTTTGCCAGAAGGCCAGGTGATCTGTGAGCCACCTAACTTCAGACCGATCTCTTCTATAAAATGTCTTCCCTTATTCCCTACTAACTCCCAGGAAAATCATCTTGCAGAGTGAACTCACAGCTCCCGCTGTCTGGAGAGACCTCAAATAACATAGAGCCACGCCAATAGCCTTGTCGGCCCTCTCACAACTACTGGCAATTTCAATTCGGGCTCCATGGGGCTGGATGTTTCCGGGGGGGCCGGCCCAGGAGAATTCAACAAACTGAACATGTTTAGGCTTCTTTTGCAAATTCTGGCAGTGGCAAAACACACCGTTCAGCATTCACACATGTAAATACACACATACATACATACCACATATGCGTATGAATTTCATGCAAAAAGTGTTTATATGCGCCTTAAACAATGTAAATATGTTTAGGGCTTATGAACAAAATGCATGTATTGCTTTACTTCAATAGCCCACCGGACTGGTGGCGGCCTCGGAAGGAGGGGGGCCTGGAGGATATCCAGTGGGTACTGCCCCCACCCAGTAGCAGCTGTCCATAATAATACGGATCCTAAAAGAGGTAATGCTATTTCGACACGTGCTCCTAGTGTATTTATAATCCAACTGTTTCTGCACGGGGGAAATATGCAGAATGTAAGCCGCGGGCCTGTTGATAATCTGAATATGCTCTGAGCTCTTGCAAAAGTCAATTTTGTCTGTTTATTGAAGGTTCTTAAACCCTAAACCCTGGACCCAATGCTCAGCATGAGGTACGAGTTGTGTTCAGGACATCCTGACAGGATTCCAGGGGTAACTTGGGTTGAGGGTTTACCAGGATCCCCCAACTGCCTTCACATGAGGCTGTGTGTAGGCCCCACAGAGCATCTTGTGGCTATTTGAGGCTATTTGACTTCTATGGAAGGTAATTGGTGGGTCTAGGTAGTGTGGGCGCAGGGACGCATCCCGGAGAGTGAACCAAGCAAGTCTAGAATTTCCCTCTGCCACGCGTCAGAACTACAATTATCCCCTAGGTTTTTGGGAGTCTCTCAATGACAGGCCACTATTTCCAATAGTAGTTGAGATTCTTTGCGGGACCCGTTCTAGATCCAAAGCTCCTACTGTTCAGTAGTTTGCGTGAACCTCAAGGAGATGGATGCCCACAACCACCCTCAAATAGGGTCTTAGGGTGTAGGATCTCGGGGCTGTATAGACGGTATTTGATTCTACCCTAAACCGTAAACCATAAGGATTAGAAACGGGCCTTGTCTTTGCGGCTATCCCTTGACTCCAAGGCTTCGACCTAAGTCTGGGGTGCGGCGGCTTGGGCTAAGGCAGGCGTATGTTGAAGACCTACTTGTGGTATGTCGGGTTTAGGTGTGGAATAAGAGGAACAACATAGGTATAGTCGCCCCCCTTGAGTAGATAGAATATGGTTTTGGGTATATTATAAGATCCCCATATATACCCCATATTCTATCTACTTAAGGGGGACTATGATCGCATAGGAGCCAGTATGCCCCAAGGGATCCTTTCCGCTGGTCCTAACTGAACAGCAGTAAGAAACTGTTGTGGTCTGCTGTGCTGTCGATAATGCAGTCCTTACTGGTGCATAGTAGGGAATAAGGGATTACAATCCCTATATAGTCCTTATACAATATACACATACTGCCTTATTTCCTACTAAGCTCGAGTAAGAGAGTCTCGTCAGAGGGTTGTTTGCGGCATCGGGCTATGTCTTAGGTCGGCACATGT